CCCCCCCCCCCCCCCCCCCCCCCCCCCCCCCCCCCCCCCCGCCCCCCCACCGCCCCGCCCCGCCCCGCCCCGCCCCCATGCGTCGACGGCGCGGCCGCGGGCGCCGCCATGTTGGTAAGGTCAGCGCCGCGCCGCCGCCATGTTGGGTGCCGCGCACTGCAACGTGTGCATGGGCGTGCAAGGCGGCGTGCGTATGCACTGCGCCGCGTGCAAGGCAGGGCGCGTGCACTGCAGGGCGGGGCTTCTATGCTGCAGCACGTGCAAGGCGGAAAGTGCGTGTACTGCAGCGTGTGCATGCACGTGCAAGGCACGGCATGCTGCAGGGCAGCGTATGCGTGTCTTGGCAAGGCAGGGTAGCAGCTTTGTGGCAAGTGTAAAGGTGGGGCACGCTGCATTGCTTCTGCGTGCGTGTGTGCGTGCGAGCAGGGGACAGTTCACGGCACTGTACAGCATGCGTGCATGCCTGTTGCATAGGGCACACCATGCGGTGCTGCAGGCGGTGGGGCCCAGCCTGCCCCACAAACACAGCCACTGCCTCCCAAAACCCGGGGCTGCGGCTGTGCCGCAGGGGCTGCCCCTGCGCGGGCCACGCTCTGCCCCCTCAGACGGCTCCGTTTTGCCCCCATCCCACCCTGGGGCAGCAGCAGCGCAGGAGCTGACAGGCGGCTCCCTCCCATTCCCCACCATCACTTTTATTGTACAACAGCAGCAGGGGCTGGCGAGGGGCTCCCCCCGGCCCCCCCCAGCCCCACCAGCCTCTCGCTGGCCTCCCAGAGCGCCCGGGCCAGCTGGTCGTCGCGGGCCAGTGGCCATGGCTCTTGCAGGCTGCAATCGGCAAAGTAGCGGCCGCTGAAGCACTCGAGGCCCTCCTGTGTGGCGCAGTGCAGGGAGGTCTGGGCACCCTCAGCTGCGTCGCGGAAGAAGAGCCAGGCCAGCGGCACGAAAAGCGGCTTCAGCCAGAGTGGCGTGTGGCGGAAGAGTTCCGTGTTGACGAACCCTGCGGTGAGGGGAAGCGGCCATGTTGCAGCCCAGCCCCTGGCGGGGAAGGGCCCACGCGGGAGCCAGCGGCTCTGCTGCAAGAAACTGAAGTGGCCACGCCAGGGCCTTCCCAGGGGCAAGGGCGCACTGTGCAAAAAGTGCATCGTGCAAAGGGACACTGTGCAAAGGTTGCACCATGCAAACGGATGCTCTGTGCAAAGGGAGACACCATGCAAAGGACACTTCGTGCAAGGGGATGCTCCACATGCAGGAATTCTCTGTGCAAAGACTGCACCGTGCAAAAAGCACACCGCGCAAAGGCAGCCCTGAGTGCAGAGCTGCTCCATGCAAAGCACACACCATGCAGAGGATGCCCTGCACGAAGGGCTGCCCCGCGCAAAGAACACCCCGCACAAATGCTGACGGTGAACCCACCCCGTCCTGCCGTCCCCAGCTCCAGGCTGGAGAGCCGGGTCCCTACCTGGGTGCACAGCGTAGCACGTCACCTGGGTGCCCTGCAGGCGCGTGGCCAGCTCACGGGCGTGCAGCACGTTGGCCAGCTTGCTGTTGCAGTAGTCCTGGAAGGTTGACAGCAGCCCGGGGGGCGGGCGGCCCAGGGTGTCGGGGTGCAGGTGGCCGGCACAGTGGGCGCTGGAGGCAACGATGACCACGCGGCTGGGCGCGCAGCTCTGCAGCCGCCCCAGCAGCAGCTGGGTGAGCAGGAAATGGCCCAGGTGGTTCACCTGGAAGGAGAGGCTGAAGCCGTCCTCCGTTGTGCCCCCGCTCACCCCTGCTGCAAAGGAGACACTGCAGCCCACGGCGGGGGGCCCCCGGGGGGCCGGGGG